ATTGTGGAACTTTGCTGAATTTATTTATTAGTTCTAATATTTGTGTGTGTATGTGTACATGTATGTGTATGTATGCTGTCTACATGTAAGATACTTCATCTCTTGGCTGAGAAAAAAATTTTTTTCATATCTTGATGGTATTTGTGTATGTATTTAATGTCTTATTGCCCTTGCTAGAACTTCCTTTACTATGTAGAATAAGAGTGCTGAGAGGGAGCATTCTGATCTTATGGAGAAAGCTTTGGGGCTTTTATTATTGATTGTGATGTTAGCTTTGAAGTTTTCATAAGTGGCCTTAATTATGTTATTCTACAGTGTGAACTGTCCTTATCATGAAAAGATACCAAACATTTTTAAATCATTCTCTTAATCAATTGATATGATCATGTTGTATTTGTTCTTCATTTTGTTAATGTGGTATATTACATTGATTAATTTTTCTGGGTTGTACTATTTTGCATTCCAGGAATAAATGCCACTTGATCATCATATAACATCCCTTTAAAGGGCCCATTTCAGTTTGTTAATATTTTATTGACGACTCTTGTGTCAATATTCAACACAGACGTTTGTCTAAAGTTTTTGTTTTGTTTTTGTTTTTACTATGGTGCCTTTGTGTAGCTTTGTTATCAGGATAATGCTGGCCTCATAGAATGGTATTGAAAGTTTTCCCTCCTCTCCCCTTTTTTGAAAGATTTTCAGAAAGATTACTCTTAATTCTTCTTTAAATGTTTGGTAGACTTTTTCAGTGGAGCCATCTGGTCCTGGGCTTTTTTGTGTTGGAAATATGTTTGATTCTTGATTCAATCTCCTTGGTCTGTTCAAATTTTCTATTTTTTCATGATTCAGTCTTGGTTGCTTATGTTTTTCTAGGAATTTATCCATTTCTTCTAGATTATCCAATATTTTGGCATTCAATTATTTATAGCAGTATTTTTTTTGAGAGGTTTTTGCTATAAGGCACGTGCGCTCGCCAGACAGAGAGAGAGACATAGAGACAGAAAGCGAGAAATCACACCCCAGGGGGGATGGTCACGCTGCAATCCCTTCTCCTCCATTCTCCTCTCGGGATCTTGGGCATGCACGCACACGTGCCCGGCGTGAATTTTAAGCCACCGGGTCCGGGACATGAACCGCGGCCGACTACGTGGGAGTCCAGCGACATAGCCATTACGCTAACTGCTGGTTCCCTATAGTAGTATTTTATAATCCTTTTTATACTTCTAGAATAGGTTGTAATATCTCCTCCTTCATTTCTTATTTTTGTTATTTGGGTCTTCCTTATTTTTTTAGTCTAGTTAAGGGTTTGTTGATTTTTTTGATTTCTGCTATTGTTTGAATGTATCTCCCAAAACTTATGTGTTAATATTTGTTGAACCATAGAGATGGTATTGAGAATGAAAATTTAATCTGACTATAGGATTAAAAGGTGGAACCTTTGGGAAATGATGAAGATTAAAGTCATCATTTTAGAGACCCAATGAGCTTATATGGAATGGGAATGAGAAACAGACACAGACACAGATTCATGTTCTGCTCTTGCAATCTCACCATATGATACTCTGTTTACTATACCATCCTGGGACTCTATTGCTTTCCAATATGTGGGAGCCTTTGTATTTTTTGTCAAAACTAAACAGGATAAAGGGCTATTTTTCAGTTGTTGGTGGTAGTGGTGGTGGAAGTGTTACTTTTTTATTGCACATTATAATATCTCCAAGTAGCAGCAGCAATTGTATTTTCACCTTCATGTATTAAGTGTATGCTTAAGCCAATCTCCATTTCAGTAATAGGGGGGGAGGAAATACATTATTTTTAGGGCAGGAATACCAGAGTCAATTCAGTTTGGCTCAGATCTATACTTTTCCACATAATGGCTATGCAGTCTTACATAATTTATAAACTTTTCTATGCCATCTATAAGATAAGGATGATAATAATGATATCTACTTTATATTTTTTATTAAAATTAAAACAGTTAATACATGTACAGCACTGGTAAAATAACTGGAACATAGTATGCATTAATTATTGGTAAAAGAGTGGACCAGAGGTGGCATGGGGGTTAAGGGCACTGAACTCCCACATAACTGACAATGGTTCGAGTTTCAGACCTGGTGACTTGCTTTCTCACTTCTCTCTCTCACTCTTTCTCTCTGTCCCTCTCTGGTCAAATTAAAATAAATAAATGAATAAATAAATAAATAAAGTTAAATAAAATTATTCTTTTTTGTCATTATTATTATTTGCACATTCAATCACTATACATCTTTTAGATTTTTAAGAGACTTTACCCAGCATAATATACACCTCAGTTCAGCCCAGTTGAGAAAACTATACACATCCTAATCAACAGATGATAAACCATCTGTGCCCCACAAATGTCTTACCTCTCTATTTTTTCCCCAAATTTCCTTTCTTATGCACTTCCCCTCCCACACTTTCCTTCTGCTTTGTCTCTAGTGTCCATGACAATTTTTAATGTTTTATGTTCGGCAGACTATCCATCTCTACCATAGAGTGTAGTCAGTCAGTATATGTTAAGTGGAGACATACAATGTTTCTCTTTCATAGCCTGACTTGCTTCATTCAACAACAGATCTTCCATATTTGTCCACTTTCTATCAAATTTCAGGGCCTTGTTGTTTTTTATGGCTGAATAGTATTCCATGGAGTATATGTACCACATTTTTTCAATCTATTCATCTGTTTTTGGACATTTGGGTTGGTTCCATATCTTAACAATTGTGAATAATGCTTCAGTAAATACAGTTGTGCAAGTGCTTTTCTGACTGAATGTTCTCCTGTCCTTTGCGTAAAAATCCAGGAGTGGAATTGCTGGATCACATGGTAGTTCTATTTGAAGGTTTTTGAGGAAACTCCATGTTGTTCTCCACAATGGCTGGACCAATTTACATTCCTACCAACGATATAGGAGTGTTCCCTTCCAGCACTTATCTTTTTTTTTTTTTAAATCTTCACTATTCTGACTGGGGTTAGCTGGTATCTTATTGTGGTTTTGATCTGCATCTCCCTTATGATGAGGGACGTTGAGCATTTTTTCATATGCTTTATGGCTGTTCCTATGTCTTCCCTTAGAGAATTGTTTATGCAGCTCATTTTCCCATCTTTTAATTGGGTTAATAATTTTCTTCCAGGTAAGCTGCTCAGTTCCTTGTGTATTCATTCTGGTTATCAGTTCCTATTGTGTTACAGTCTGTCTCTCCTTTTAGATCCAGTAGTCTTTAATTTATGTGTTTGGATGCTCCTGATTTGGGTCCGTAGAATTTCTGTGTTTGGATGCTCCTGATTTGGGTCCGTAGATATTTATAAGCATTATATATTCCTGGTGGATTGGTCCTTTTACTATTATATAATGCCTTTCTTTGTCTCTTCTTATGGTTTTTGTCTTAAAGCCTATTTTGTCTGAAATCAGTATAGCGACTCCCACTCTTTTGGGGTTTCCATTTGCATGGTATACCTTTTTCCAGCCCTTCACTATTTATGTCTTTATCCATGAGATCGGTTTCTTCTAGGCAACAGATGGAGAGTTCTTACTTTTAATCCATTCAGCCAGTCTGTATCTCTTGATTGGAGAGTTTAATCCATTAACATTCAACGTTATTATTGGTATTTCCAGACTTGTTTCTACCATTAAGTTGTCCCTATATTGGGTTGTTTTCTTTTCTTTTCTTTTCTTTTCTTTTCTTTTCTTTTCTTTTCTTTTTTTTTTTTTTTTTTTTTTTTTGAGGGTGCACACATTCACCAGAC